GGGCCGGGTCGGGCCGCCGGCGCCGGAAGGGGAAAGGGCAGCCACGTGAGGACGACCGCGCCGTAGCACCAGGTTGGGCCTATGGCTCACCTACCGCGAGGCCACCTGGCTACCAGGCGTCGGGGCCCTGGACTTCTTGACCCACTGTCAAGGCCTGCGCCCCAAGAGGTCCCTGGGACTCTCTATAGAGGCCGCGCTCTCCGGGCCCTGAAGCACTCATTTATTCACTCATTCCTCCATTGCCCAAATGTAGCTTATACACTCAACTCTGGGCCACACCTTTGGCTAGGTACTCGAGAATCAAAAGTAAGCAGGGTGTTGCTCCGCAAAGCCCGGAGCACAGGGCGAGGCGGATAGTAAGCTCTCAGATGTTCCTATTACAACCCCTAAGGAACCCCGAGGGCGGGTGGGTAGTGGTTGCGCATTAGACTGATAACCTGATAACGCCATGGCCCGCAGTTCCAAACACCGCTAGAGAAAGAAAAGGCTTTCTACTTCCGGCAAGAGTCACCGTCTCGGAAACTGACCGGGGCAGTTCTACTCTGTCCTGTGGGGTCACTTTGAGTCGGCATTGACTCAGTAGAACTGAGTTTTATTATTACTATTATTATTACACACATGCAAACATGGGCAGACCTTCATATTTATGCAAGAAACACTTCTGAGCACCCTACCTGAGCCCAGTTTACCTGGCAGTGACCGGTCCACTACTGGCTCTGATTTTGGCCCAGTTACTTCACCCCCTAGGCCCCAGGTTTCCTCACCTGTGAGTCAGACTAAGGCTTAGGTCATAAGATGTCAGTAAGGATCGAATTAATGAGCGTAAACCCTAGGGCCAATGAGCCTTAGGGACAGTTAGCAGGAGCTGCTAAGAAAAGGTTGGGGTCTGAACGGACTCAGGGAGAAAGACCTGGGACCAGCCTGGAATACCCTGGAGCGGTTCTATGGCCTGGCAAGGAGTCCAACATAGCTCCCCTGCACCCGACAGCAACCGTGAGCACAAGGAGCGAGAAACCACCCAACATCACTGCCATCAAATTGATTCTGACTCATAGTGACCCTGTAGGACAGGGTGGAACTGCCTCACTGGGTTTATGAGCCTGTACATCTTCAGAGGATTTACATCATCTTTTTCCTGTGGAGAGGCTGGTGGGTTCGAACTGCGGACCTTGCAGGGAGCAGTCCAGAAGGGTTCCTCAATGACCGAGACCCTGCAATGAAAAGTCCCTGCTGTGGTTATCAGGAGCTGTGGTGGTGGGAAGGAGAAAGAGGAGGCTGTCTGCTCCAGGGAGGTCTGCAGCGCAGAAACCAGCCGGAGCAGTTAGTTCCCTCCTGCGTGCAGGATTGCCAGGAGTTGGAATCCACCATTCGGTGGCCCTCGGGTTTGTTTGAGTTTGTTTGCTTGTTCATAAGATGATGAATCTTATGATTATTCATCAGGCCTGGGCTCTTCAAACGTGGTGTCCTGAAAAAACGAGTGTGTGGCAGCCGGAGGGAGGTAGTTCTAAGATAAACGAGCCAAGAAGAGACAACCAAACTCGACATGTGAATTTGGTTAATTGGGTTGCTTCCTGTTGTGCTTTTTAAAAAATATTTTTTTTAAAAACTAGTAAATAAGAAAATATTTAGAATAATATTTGGAAATATTTCCAAATAAATATTTGGAAATTTGAATGTGGACTGAAGATATATGGCCTTAGAAAACTATTGGTATTTTTGTCCTGCGATAATGATACTGCTTTTTTTCCATGAGAGACTGTCCTCACTGCTACAGCAGAGGTATGTGGAAGGATTAAGGGTGAATGCCCTAATTTGCCTGCCAATTATTCTGTAATGATTCAGCAAAAATGAAAGCCCTATGCACACGTTGGCTCCGACGGACAGTGAGCTGACGCACAGCGGAGCAGTAAAACCCCATGTGCACACATGAGTAACTCACACGGAGAGAGAGAGGGCAGTAGAAAATGTCCGGGACTGAAGTCTGGATGGTACTCTCCTTCCTCTTCTAAAAATTCCACAACCCAAAGTGAGGGGAACCTGCTATGATGTCATAGCCCCACTAAGTTTACAGCCACAGAAAGATCCTGTCTACCCACGGGTCAAAACAAAACTGAAAAGAAATAGGCCCCTGGCAGATGAGTCCATTCAGATCCCTAGCAGCCCTGGTGGGCCTGTGGAATAAGCACTTGGCTGCTAACCAAAGGGCCAATGCCTAACCACGGTGAACTTTCCCATGCGCCGCCCCACCCCCCATTGTGTGGCCGTGAACTGAAACTGTAATACCTGAAACTTCTCTTTCCCTCATAAAAGTTTCTTGGATTTACAAAAGTGCTTCTACCACATGAATTCTTTCAGTGTTGAGAAGCAAGAACCGAGGTAAACCACCCCAGAAGCCGAACATCAAGAGTTACAGTCTCAGTAACCCACAGGGACAGTTCTACCCTGTCCTAGAGGGTCACCAGGAGTCAGCATTGACTGGATGGCAGTTGAGTTTTTGCATTTGGACACTTTTGTTCCTGCGGTCCCCGAGGGGTGGTGGTCTTGAGCATTTGGGGAACCCTGGTTTGAAGCCCTTTGTGGGATCACTGTGAGTTAGAACGGACTTGATGGCTGTGGGGTTTTTCAGTGGGTTCCTTACATGGCAAAGGGGTCTTTGCAGATGTGATTACATTAAGGATCTGGAGATGGGAGACTGGCCTGGTCTGTCTAGGTGGGTCTGAAATGGCCAACAAGTTTTCATAAGGGAAAGGGGGACCGAGGAAAGTCACAGGGGCAGGGAGATGAGAATGGATGCAGAGGGCAGAGAGAGGACGGTTCACATGCAAAACTTCCATCTTTGAAGATGAGCGAGGGGGGTGGGAGCCAGGTAAGTAGTGACGAGGAAGAGGTGGATGTGGGCTCTCCCCAGGAGCTTCCAGAGGGGACCAGCCCTGCCCCCGCACCTCTAACTGGCAGATGTTGTGTGTATGAAGCAGGGAAAGTGCAATCATTCAGCAATCTCACACTTTTCAAGCATTGTTGCCAAGAGGGCAGGAAGTCACAGGGCTAGCGCGGCAGTGCCTGGACAGGGAAACCACCAGTCATCAGAGTGCAGCTTGTTCACTGACACTCAGGGAAGCTGTAAGGCCCTCATGGAAGGAGCCTTTGAGCGGTGGTTTCAGGAACAGCTCCTTGCCCAAGGGAGAGGAGGAGCCTTTTCTCACATCAGACCAGGTCTGCTGATTAAAACAAGCAAATAAATAGGATTGAACTACTGAATTGTATGATAAGTGGATGATGTCCCACTTGGTGTAAAAAAGCAGAAAACTCAAACCCACTCACCACCAAGTCAATCCCGGTTCCAAGGGACCCCTAGGGCAGAGGAGACCCGCCCCACAGGGCACCCAAGGTTGTAATTCTTTCTGGTAACATGCAGCCTCCTTTTTCTTCTCAGCAAGCTGGTGGGTTTGAACTGCTGGCCTTGAGTTGAGCAGCCTAATGTTTAGGCCACAGCGCCACCAGGGCGCCTTTCTGACTGACCAGAACCAGGACCCAACCCCCTGCCATGGAGCTGTAGAGGTTGGTGAAAATGCAACCCCCCACCCACCCACCACCCCAGAAGAGTTTTGTTTTAGATCATGGTTTTTATTTTTCCTAAAAATGTTCAGTTGGCCTGCAGTGGGCTTGTTGGTATTTTTAACTTGCCAATGGATGATTATAAATAGCTTTCGATAGTGCAGTTTTCATTTCTAACACATAGGATCCACAACAAACACAAGCCTGGCTGGAGGGGAGAGCCTAGAAGTCTGAGGGCGGAGGCCGGCACACCCTGAAGCAGCACTCCACCGCAGGCCTTTGCACACACCCTGCTTTCCAGAACTTTCCATTCCTCCAGCAGCCCCCTCCTTCCCCCACCTCCTGTGATCAAGCCCTCCTCAGAAAGGGCTTCAGGGCTGTGACACCCTTAAGGGCCACCGGACTCCCCTCCTTCCTGTGACCC